TGGGGAAAAGACTGAAGGAGAAAGTAAAACTCCTGGAGGAAAGCAGGACAGCAATTTAATAAATGAAAAAAAAAAAAAAACAGTCAAGAGTTAATTTGGTCGAATAGTCTGACTTGCAAACAACTCATCATTTGTGTGTCACCAACCCATTCCCAGGTCACAAAACAGGGTGCTCTTACCAGAAGCCAGCTTCACATTTTTTGTTGCCGTCAGTTCCTGGTGATATGCTTTGGCACATTCGGGAGTCACCCCATACAGTCCAACATCAGCTGAACGCAGGAAGCTGAGAGTCCTTGCAACATCACCCTGGTCCATTGCCTCGTTAATGGCCAAAATTCCTAAGGCAACTTGGATGAAGAAAATAGGGGGAAAAAAGCTTTTCTGTGAATATGTTTCATGGAACCAATGTTGGTCCTTACCTGAACATTGATTTTCAGTGTGATGCAGGAGGGGCTATGCATAGGTATGACAGCCTGATTGGTCCAGAGACTGAGAGAAGTTCTTTGCCATGCCTCTTCCTTCCCCTAGCTCCCCAGTTTCCTTGAGGATGCAGAACGCAGTCCACCTGAAAACCACAAGAAGACAACCAGGCCACCCCCAGCCTTCCACCTGACTATCTATGTCTTAATATGGAGGGATGTAGTCCCTCCTGCATCACACTGAAAATCAACGTTCAGGTAAGGACCAACATTCGTTTTCCAGTGTATAATGCGGAAGGGGCTACATGTGGGACCCAAGCTAGCGTCCCTAGGGAGGGAAAGGAGCTAAGAAGTAGGATCTAGGGTGGCCACCACCTGTTGAAGGACCCTGCATCCAAGGGATGCCTCAGCTAATGCAAAGGCATTCAGATGGTAGTGGCGAATGAATGGTGACAGAGTAGGCCACGTGGGCACCCTGCAACTATCCTCGAATGGAGCCCTGGCCGACCACGCTGCTGTGGTCGCTGTGCTCCATGAGGAGTGTGCTGTAATCCCGGGGGAGGGGCGTGACCCATAACCTCATAGGCGGTGACAATGGCTTGCTGGACCCACCTCCCAATGGATGTCGAGGTAACCCTAGCCCCCAAGGTGGCAGGGAGGAAGGATACAAACAATGCCTCATACAGGCGGGTTGAGGCCATGCACCATTTATAAATACGAAGGGCCCGCCAGACATCCAACCTATGTCAGATGCGTTCCCTATCATGGGAAGGCACCGGGCAAAAGTTTGGGATAACAATCTCCTGAGCCCTATGGAAAGGTGTGTTCACCTTAGGTATGAAAGCCGGGTCTAACCTAAGAACCACCCGGACCTAGAGAAACACACAGAGATCTCCTCAGGATGACAGACGCCCTCCCACCGCTCCAACATGCGCCTGGCCGATGTAATTGCTATCAGGAATGCAACATTCAAGGTTAGGAGCCAGAGGTAGATTGACCTCAAGGGTTCGAAGGGCGACTGTCAGCTTCTGCCTTGCTACTGCTTCAGCTGTCATGAAACGGGGAGGGAGGGTTTGGTATT